GTGTACGGTAAAGGAAAGCGGGTGGCGACCCGTAGTCGAGTACACGTTTCGTTTCTTCCCCGTCGCGAAAAGTGCGGGATTGCATAAGCTACCGTTAGAATCCCTATATTCCCCGACTCTCGACTTTATAACAGAACGTTCGTCTGTTAGTGTGGTCGTCGTCGTAGGAAGACCAATCCCCAAAATCCCGCATCGCACGTACAACCTACGAACGTTTCCTCGATCGACCTCGTCCCGATCTAATCGCTTGAATATTCTTCCTGGCAGTCGCGTGCAATACATATCGCATCTATGCGAAAATTTCACCATTCCTAAGGCACATCAGGATCGGCATATCCTTTCTTGGATATTAAGTGAATATGGAATGAACGCCACGTTCGAAGAACGGTGCACGTGCAGCGCAACTTCTTCGCTGACAGACGATCGATTTGATAACAGCATTAAAAGATATGAGGAAAGCTTCGCTCATTTTAAGCCGCGTACAAGTTATTTTTAACGGTAATAACAAAAATATTAAAAATTAAATAGCTTTAAATCTTTAAATCTACCGAAAGTAGTTATAATCTTTTTAAAATGTTCGGAACTGTCGAAGCTGAGAAAATATGTCACTAACGTTCTCCTCAGAAAGTGTATCTGAAATGAACGAAAAGAAAAAGATTTAGCTAAGTACAGTTCTGAAAATAATTTTGTTGGATCATTAATTCGATTAAATAGAACGCTTAAATGTTGATGGATACTTTTATTTAGAGAAATATTTAAAAAATTTGTATATCCTAACAATCAGTTTGAGAATCTTGCATAATTATAATATAGTATTTTCAAAATCAACAAAATTATTTTCAAATCTCTGTATATCTTATACCGAATTTTTTAAATACTTTAGCAAAATCATGTTTCCACTGTGCATGCCTTCAACAAGATGTTTGATATACTCAGTAGATATCGAATAAATGATATACTCATAAGCACAGCAAATTACAATGTTGGCATCATTCTTGTATATACCGTCACTGCAAGATGCTCTAGATATAGAAAATCAATTTTCTGCGGCGAAGAGGATTGATGAAAAAAAGATTTAAAAGTATTTTTAACTACATAATAAAAAGATCAGTGGATTAAAAGCAATTTCTGCAAGCACAAATATAGCAAAATTAATGTACCTCACCACAATGATAAGATTCTAACATTGGTCTGCAACTATAATATCTTAGCTCTGGCACTTGCAGTTTTAATCTACTTTGTATGCTTTGACGTACGACTTATCTTTGTACGAGAATAGTATACACATAAAATGGGCAAAGTTCTTTCGAAATTTTTATCATTTTATTTTACAAGCGATTTTATATATTAACTGTTCGGAACGAAGAAGAAACGCTTTCTCTCTCTTTCTTGTATTAATTTCGCGCTGTTTTTGTACCGGTTCAACATCAATCGATAGGCCATTATGGAAATCCGATTAGAATGTGGCTGCAGGCTCGTAAAATTCACAACGCCAGAGTTCAATGTAGACCGGTAGTGAAACGAGAGACTCGGCGCTGGCACAAGCAGTTTACGCCCTCGGAAAAGCCGCCGTCGCTTGCGGAATTTAAGTTCCTAACTATTTGAACGTTTGCCAGAAATAAAGCTCTTGGATAGTGCCCGCCGACCAGGAATTATTTCTTAAAGTTCCGTAACGCAACTTTATTTCTACGTAAGCGAGTCCACTAGCCGATATTGAACGCGCGGTTTAAAGCCTACAATAATGAACAATGCTACCTCGGCTTACGCGTGATAACATAAATAGCTCATCAGGAGACAATGATAGCTTTTTGATTAATGGAGGGATAAGAGAATGAAAGAAAAGTAAAGTCGCGATAATAAATGATGCCCGTCGCAACTTTTACAGGTCATTATAGAAATCTCCTTGCGCGCGATAAAGGCAGAACGGTGAGTAAACTACCAGATGTAGAAATGTGCAAGAGAAGATCGAAAAAAAGAAAGAGCCGGGAATTCTCGACGTTAACGAACACATCGGCACGTTCTCAAAAGAAATCATTACTGGCGGATTTATTCCGTTTGTCCAAGAATAAAGTAATATTCCAAAAAGTCATGATGCAGTGTAAAATTTAAACTTCACAAAATTTTATTCTATAACGTGTGAATTATTGAATAAAGGTACAAGAATTATCGCTGCGTTGATAAAAAAAAAGTGACATAAATTATTTCACTTTTGAGACAAATAGAAAAAAAAATTAATATTTTTGAGATAATGATAAAAGGAAATTAACCTTAAAGATTTATACAATATATTTTTGTAGAAAAACGAGACTCATTTATGATATGTAGCTCATTTATATAGAAAAATGTTACAACTTTGATAAGGAATTAAATTTACATTATATTATGACTGCAATGTTCAAATTTTAAATACTCATATTATATAATTAAATAGTTCTCTAACTAGACCTCTCACTTACATTATTTTTGTGTGCAATAGAAAGAGATAAAAGTGTTAAGAAGTCCTTGTCTACAGAAGACTGTGTGAGTTTAAAGAATATATATAATTAAAAGTACATATAGAAAAAGGGGTTATAAAAATTGTATATCCATTATCATAATTAAAACATTGCTTTAATTAAGAACTTAAAAGAAAGATTTTCACTGAAAAACTAATGCTGGTTGCTAATTTTGAGACGTGACACTTTTCTATCAACACAACGATATCCTCCTCTCTCTCTCTCTTGTACGATACATAAAAAGATTCGTATTAAAAAATCATATCGGCAAAGGAAATCAGAATATATATCTCGGTCAAGCTGTTCCACCGTATCCTGCACATCCTACTACTCGAAAGATTCTTAATGTACGTACAAGAAAGATCACTAGCCGTATCGATATTCGGTCGAAGGTTATGGAAAAATGATACGCTTGAACAGACTTTATAACTTAAAACGAAAGTCGGACGATATGTAGGAGAATAATATACCGCAATCGTTCGTTCCACCGGTTGGATCCACGAAATATTCCGTTTATTTCATAGAGCATGGAATTTATTTCAGCCGTGTACCTGGTATTTCGGTCAGATATTTCATAACCCTCCTATTGCAGCTACGGTGACTGAAAAATATTTCGATATCTGCATACCTATATTGATTTCATCTCTCACGCTGCCCTTTCTATCTCTTTTCTACCCTCGTCTTCTCTATCACTGTATCTTTCACCACGTACTTCTGGCATTCTTATCACTAGATTTCTTTCCCGACGTAATGCAGTCTAACAAGCACGCGCGTTTGTCAAATCGAGATTTTACACCAGTATACACATACACGAGATAAATACAACTATGTAAAGTATATGAAACTTTAAGAGATACATCTTGCATCCAATTTGAAATGTATCTCCCTCTTTGCATATGTCAGAGAGTTAACTATATCCACAGTCATATAAATAAATCTAATTATAATTAAGTTTTAAAAACTTTTGAGAAAAACTTATGAAAGAAGTTATCTGTATCGATCAATAAAGACTTAACTATCTGCTGAAGTAAAGAATAGAGAGTATACTTCTGAAAGATGTTCTGGTAACGATGTTGAAGCGCTTGTCATCGTAAATTTATACTTCGCGACACTTGTCACTCGTGCTCGTGGCACCATAATTAATTTACAATTATTCTACGCGCATATATACAGGTATATATATGTATGTGTGTGTGTATATATAATCGCTCTTATTCGAATATATAAATTTTGAAACCTCAAGTGTTCCAAGTTCTCTTTTCAACACGCGCCAGTCTCATTAATCTCGGCTGAACTATTCGCTTAGCTACACGTACTGGGTAGCTAAAACCGTCAGGCTATAGAGATATCATCGGACGTTGTAGATGAAAGCCCGAATTTGATCTTCAAAGTGTCTATTAGTCTTACGTCTGTTATTAATCAAATATAGCTGACAACTGCGATATTGCCCCCTATCAATCAATCATTGATAGTCGGCTGAGTCAGTCACGAATTATCCGGTGCAAGTCCGTTATGCATAGATGATAGATGATAATGAGCTTATACTGTGCTATTAGAACAAGTTACACTTCGTTATTCAAGTTAAGTATCTTTACGCGTTGCAACCAAAGGAAGACGATGTTATCACAACCGCGGAGTGTGTAGTTTAACACATTTCTGTATTTTGTTCGATACACATATCCACATGCAATCGTGTAACTCGTATATCAAAGACCGGCGTAGCTACAATGTCAATAATAAAAGAAAAATACAGATACGCGCGAATAAAAAAAGAAAGAAAGAAAGGGTGGAACGGAAAGGGAGAATACGAGTAAAGGACGCGGGACTCCAATTAAGTGGCGTGGGACGTGGGTGCCACGAGAACATCGTTACAGCATCGAGATCGCCATTATGCCACGAAGAGGACGACCCTAACGACGTGGCTACCGTGATTTATGGTCCAGCGAAAACGCGCCACGGGACACATGGATTATGTATCCAGAGAACGACTTTCTAGTTGTAGTACTTTATAAAAGTAGATTAAAACAATAATGCATCATGGCCTTTCATCTTTACTATTAGCATAATTAGTCTTCACTTTATGCAAATAGTTATAAATGTCGCGAGACATCCCGAAACAAGCACCTCATAGCAATTACGCCAAAAACAGAAAGCTTTAGTGATGATACAGGGATTCCATATACTTTAATTACCAAATTCTTAAAGTGATCTAAAATTCCTTTTGATGAAAATTGTTTTAACACTTAACTTTAAATAATCTTCTTATAGTTGCCAACAAATCTGATATTTTTTTCTTATTATGCTGCTAATATATCCGCTTAGTTTTCAATAATGATAACGGTTCTGAGATACCCTGTACAAACACGGTGATTTACGGGTCGCAATGCGGTCATCAGATCAAAGTGCATATCGTTAGTAGTAGGAGGAAATAGCAGCTCCTGATTGCTTCGTGGTTGCCAAGTCCCGGACGGTTAGATGAACATACGCAATGACGCACTCACTTACCTGACACCGCTAGATGGACAGTTCTGATTAATGGTGGGTGGGCGCTGACTTGACACTCGTAAAGGCCGGCATCGCGTTCCGTAGCGGAGCGTAGAAGCAATCGCCAGTCATTGGGTTTCTCAAAGGCCAGAGAGAATCTGGAGTCACTCGCGTACGTATCGAGGCCAATGGTGAGTAAATGAAGCTCCTCTCCTCGTCTACGTACCCAAGACACCTGTAATGAAAAAAAGTAGTGCTTGATGCAGTCCATCAGAATTTTCCGCAAAGCTTTTAATCCTGGATTACAGCAACGGGTTGTTTGGACCCGAAGTAAAAATTTCAAATTCAAACCGTTGCACGATTAATACTATAACGTTTCAAATTATAAGTAAAAGAATTTTTGAACCTTCGTCTATCATCGCCGTAAAGCAGAAGTTTCATACTATATTTCAAACAGAATGCTTTAGAGCTTAAAGAGTAGTTTTCATAGCTAACTACAACGCTCTCTCTCTCTCTCTCTCTCTCCTTCCCTCCCTCCCATCCTCCCTTCCCTGCCCTTCCCCCTTCTCTCTAAAAACAGCTATAAAAACTCTCAACTACGAGGATTAATTAAAGAGGTTAGCAAAAGAAACACATATAATTTTCTCTTCTTTATTAAAAATTAGTTAAATTATAAAATGGGAAATGGAATTTCTATCGATATCTTTCTCTGGTCAGCTGCTAGTGACCTCTGAAAACTATTAGCCCTAGAACTCGGAAAGTCGCTACTTGCTTCTGAACTTTACACGCGATATACAAGGATGCGGACAAGGCATATTTATACGCGCTCGACTTTCGTGAGTGGACGTATAAGAGTAGTCTTATACCTTTCACGAAAGAAGGAGAGAGAGAGAGAGGGAGAGAGAGTGCCAAGAACACTTTGCATAAATCATGCACATCGAAGCTAATGGAACAGTGTGCCATAAAAATACGACCGTATTGCCCGTAAATCACAGTAAGTTATGCCGTTAACTGCTGTTATCTGACGCAAATATATGTCCGCATTTTAAAACCGATTGTATCGCTCCCCCATTCATTAAATTAGATAGAAGCTTTATGCACAAAAAAGTTCTGACAGCTTCGATAAACTTAGTCAGGAAGATAAACTCACAAAGATGTTTTTGACATTAATTTCTTTTGCCATGCCATGGCGAAAAAGAAATTAATAAACGTTTCAAAATTGGGTAAAAAGTCGTGCCATGTACAACTGTCCGTCAAAAAATTATATGAAAAAGATTGTATTGATAAATATTTTAATAAAATAGAAAATGCGTTTTTAGAAAAGTATATTAAGTCATAAAAAATATTTTACAGATAATTTAAATATATATTTTAATACAAATGCATCGATTTTATGTATTTTTTTATATGGAGGAATTTTTAAAAAGTTTGATAAAAGATTCGTATTATATATATGTATTAAAAGAATTTTAATTTTAATTTAATTAAAAGTAAAGAAAACTTAATAGATAAAACTTAACTTTGTTATAACAAACAAAATAAAATATTCTAATGACTAAAAAAATATTATTAGACAATAATGAAACATTTGTGATTTTTTATTGTAAAAAGATAAATTTACGAAATTACATTTTTTTAAATAATGTATAAAATAAAAAACGTAATAAGAAATTTGATTAATATGGAGATTTATAAAATCTTTATAAAATCTCGCATATCGTTATTCCGTTTCAATGATTACCACGTCTATAACTCATTGATATTTGTGTTTCATTTTCATTTATAAAAATTGTATAACTTTTTTCTAGGAAAAATCTAGATTCAAAGTAATAATGATAAATTAATTTACGCATAATTTGTTATCAAATATATTTTATTCTTCAAATAGACGATATAGATTTAATGTATGATATGATAAAAATTGACTTGAAATGCAAAAAATAGAATATTTGCACAAATTTATTTTTTAATAAAGTAAACATTTTTCGAGATTACTAGCCTTGGTGTTTACTTTTACAAATATATGGAACGTTGGCCATCAACACGCACGATCATACATATATACAATACATACATGCCGCCATTAAAGCAAGCTGCTTTTTTCGTCGTATATTCCTCGAGATTATTTTTTACAACTGTGTACAATTTTTTATCTGAAAAAAATTTTTATTATTAATTTACTACTAATTTAAGTAATTCTAATGTATCAAAGCAAATATATTCTGCGATATTTATTCTTTTTAAAATAAAAATCCAAGTTATTGGAAATAGAAGTTGTTTAAATTAATTTAACAAAGAGCAGTGTTTACAAATAATTATTTCCTTAAAGAACTTAAATTTGAATATACATTTCTCAATGCAATTTAAACTTTTTACCAGTATAAATGTAATTTGTCCATTACTGTTTCTAGAAACTATGGAATAACAAAAGAATCGATGAATTCAATAGTATCAATATTAAAAAGCTATAAATTACGTAATTAATTTTTATGAGTGGTTATCAATAATGTTTTGTATATTTTAGCGGAATTACACATTGTGCACAATTAAAATTGGAAATACCAAATAGATTGTAATAAAAAATTATGTAATGTTACAGCCAATAAATGTAAAATACGATATAATGGGAATGTATACAATTTAAATTTATTGTTTATGTATATCTTTTTATGAAATACTGTACATTTCCATTGGAAACTATATTATTTTAATACTTGGTATAATCGTACACTTCTTTATAGGGCACAAAATCATGTTTTAGAGCACACAAAATAACAATCTAATTTACGTATCTTTTCCAAAGATAAAACAAATTTTATTTTTCTTTAATTCAATGTGCATTAATAACATATTTATCAAAATTCATTAAAAACGAAAGAATTTATTCAAGATATATTTTATAAGATTAATTTAATATTACGCATGCTACCCCAATACGAGACGTGAATTATACTTCAGAAATATTAAGTACTTTGTGATGACAAAAACTAGTTCAGTGGGTAAAAATTTCAATTATTTATAAAGTATTCAATACTTCTCGAAATGATAGCGGCTTTGACTTTGTTTTTTACGATGTGCATGGTTTTGACCTGTTGTTGATTTGTACACAAAGTCACCAGTCGCCGCGTCACTATTTGCAAATCGAAATTTAGACGAGTCGTACACTGCGACATATTTACAAAGAGAACGTTACACTATCATTCCTATTTCGATACTCAAACCGACAGGTAGCTGGGCAAGCTGCTTCGTGCATAGTGTTATTACGAAACACGATACGATAAGCGTAAAAAGAATATTATAGGAATTAGAAAAAAACAATTTTTTTTATTGACCATCAAATTATACCTCCACGCGATCGATAAAATCTTGCGCTTCACTCGATTCATATTAAGGATATATTAGCAGTACAGTTCCGGCAAAAATTTATGTAAAATTAGAAATGTATTAATATTTATTCTATTCATATAAACGTGAATTCATATAAATGTGAATATAAAATTATACATATGCATATGAAACAGTTGTAATAATTTTATATATTTATTCAACATATTTTATAGTTTATTTACTGCATTTATTATTATCTTTTTATTGTTGTAATACTTCAACTTTAAAAATAATGATAAAAATTTAAGCAACAGAAAATTACTATTTTTAGTTAAAGCGGATCATGGTGTTTAATAATATTTACATGCAAATTCGCATTTTTTAATTTTATAAATTTATTGTGCATCGATTTGGTTTATCGGATTTGAAACACAATCATAAACTGAAACTGTGGAAATAATCACACAGATTACATAAATTATTTAATAATGATGCTAACAAGCATCTTAAAATAGAAAACTTATTAATTAACTTACACAAAAATTTCATGTTTTCTTAATTTTTTATATATAAGTATATATATATATAATATATTTATATTTCACATAATCAATACTATTTATGAAATTATTTATAAAATATTTATAATGAAAGAGAGATTATGTATTTATAAAGTTTTACTGCGATTTACTAATTTGTTGCTCTGTAAATAAACAAAATTTAATATATAAAGTAAACCTTCTATTAATAAATTAAATTTCTGTTAAACATTCTGTTAATATATAAACAAAGTAAACTTTATTTATTTATAAAACAACTAATTAATAAATTGCGATAAAGTCTTATAAACACATAATCTTGATAAATACTTCATAAATAATTTTAATTATTTAAAGTATTTATTTACAAAAAAGTACTTACAAAAAATAAAAATTGTTGTGTAAGTTAATACATTTTTTATTTTAACATGCTTGCTATTTATAATTAGCATCATTATTAAATGCTCTATGTAATTTATAATGTTATATTTCCAGCTTCAGTTTATAAGTACGCTTTAAGTCGGACGAACCAAATCGGTGCGCAATAGATTTATAGAATTAAAAAATGTATTTGTAAATTTACATATGAATATTATTAAGCACTCGTTTTGATTTAAAAAAGAATTTTTTTGTTATTTAAATTTTTGTCGTTATTGTGAAAATAGAAGCATTGTAACAATAAAAATAATAATAATCTTCATTATTTAAAATATTTGTACAAAAAAATTAAAATTTTTTGAGCACACTAATAATTATTTTATATAATATATATTTATATAAATCTTGTAACCGATATTTTAAACATTGATAATCGATCGGAGTTAAAACGTTTATTTTGTACTTATTTTTGTTAAATTAAACGAATTTATTAAGCTCGCAGCCCTGCTTCTGTACTATTATTTATTTTTTATTGAGTCTTGTTACTTATATTTCATTAAAAAATTTTTATCATTACTTTTTTAAGGTAAAATATTACACAATAAAACAAATAACAAATAAATAACTAAACTATAAAAATATGTTATTAATTAAATATATGTACGTATGTAAATGTTGTTATTTATACAACCTTTTCATAAGTATATATTTTCAGTATTTATTTTTATTTAAAAAGTATAAATATTAATACATATTTCTCTAGTTTCTTTTCGAAGAGACTGAACGACTAATATGTCCTGGACACACTGAAAGGAATAAGTTTGTTATTAAAATAAAAAATAATTTGTTATACTTTTTAAAACACTATAATAAATTTTTTTTCACTTTTCAAATTATTGGACTTGAAAGTTACAATACCATCGGCATTAGCATTATCCAAGGTGTCAGACCTATGCAACGGTTCGAACTTCTTAAAAGTTGTCCAGATCAT